AAAAATTTAAAAAATAGAATAAAACAAGTCACACAAACACCCTCAAAAAAAATTGCACGTGTGCACAGAGTTGGCAGTTCCAATTGGTCTGCTGTAAGCTGTTGGGAAGTGGGTGAATGCTTTCAAATTGTTTATGGATGAAAATGCAGAATGTTACTCTAAGCTTTGCAAAAAGTTGTGGATCCAGTTGGAACTTTTTGCACTAAAATAATAACTTGAGAAGGGAATTTACTGCCTTTTTTAGACAATTAGGCAGTGCTTAATTCACCCTGACAATTCTAGAATTGTGTAATTTATTACTATTTTAAGAATTAAGTTTATTTATTTATTGGCCGCCCTGCAAGGCATGCGGGATCTTAGTTCCCCGACCAGGGACTGAACCCGCACCCCCTGCAGTGGAAGCGCAGAGTCTCAACCACTGGACCACCAAGGAAGTTCCAAGAATTAAGTGATTTTTAAATTAGTGTGCTAATTTATTTATATTCCAGAGTTTGAGAAAAAGAATTGGACCCCAAGTCCTGGTGGTCCTCAGACTTACCTGACTTGTCTGCTTGTGGGTGCTCTTAATGCAATTCATCAGAGTGGCACACACGCGCCTTCAACTCAGAGCAATCAGAAAACAAAATTGTTGTCCAGGAGACAAGCTTAAATAACATCCCCTCAACATTCTCCAAAAACTGTGCTCTGAGTTCGTTTTGAGAAAGAGAAATCAGATCCAGCCTCACACGCTACTGACTTGGGTTCTAAAACGATGAAATGAATGAGGATGAAGGGGCTTCTGACACATCTCTCAGTCACGGGCACTGACCTGTCATACATCTGTCAAAGTCACAATTAACCCAGGGACTTAATATCTTTGAGGTAATAGAGAACTCGTCTTTCAGGTGGACTTAAAGAAATGAATGAAGGCTGGTCAGTGGGGTTTTAAACAGACGCAACTCTGGTTTAAACCTTCTCACTGGAAGATAGATGGATCTCCAGCATCATAAGTTCAGGAAGGAGTGCTCATTGGTTATAAGAGCCGATGAGATAGAAGGAATGATAAAAGATCTCCAGGGGACATCAATCAATTGGCCTGCTCTTTGAAACTCTCTCCCTCTGCGTGATCTGGGGACTCATCCACTGCCAGGGGGCTGGTGAAGGCCTGCTTTTTCCACCTTTCCCTCCTCCGCCACTACATCCCTTGCCAACTATTCTAGAAAAGTCCACATCCCAGTTGCTGCTTTTTGGATGTCTGCACCAATAACTTCTACATTGTTGTGTATATTTCCCCCAGTGGGTATGAAAGGTTCTAACTCTGCACAAGCAAAATGACAAATAGTTGTTGGGTGGAAACGACTTGTGTTAAAAACGCAGTGAGCTATGTGGAGATCCTTCTAATGAGCTACGTGGAGACCATTCTTTAGGTTTTACTGATTACCTGGTCTGGTCAGGCCAGGCTGCAGAATCTGGGACCCAGTAGCAGGGAGAAGCCACTCCATGCAGGGATTGATATATCACAATATCTGCACGAATTGTTTAATTCATGACTTTATGAAAAAGAAAATGTATAAATTAGTTGATTGCAATACACTGTGAAATTAGGATTACATATGTTTTATAATGAGGAGGCCCAAAATATATAAACATGAAGTACAGTAAAAACATATTCTCCTCATAAAAGGAACCCTCTTGTACTGTTGGTGGGAATGTAAATTGATACAGCCACTATGGAGAGCAGTATGGAGGTTCCTTAAAAAACTACAAATAGAACTACCATGTGACCCAGCAATCCCACGACTGGGCATATACCCTGAGAAAACCATAATTCAAAAAGAGTCATGTACCACAGTGTTCATTGAAGCTCTATTTATAATAGCCAGGACATTGAAGCAACCTGAGTGTCCATCGACAGATGAATGGATAAAGAAGTTGTGGCACATATATACAATGGAATATTACTCAGCCATAAAAAGAAACAAAAATGAGTTATTTGTAGTGAGGTGGATGGACCTAGAGTCTGTCATATAGAGTAAAGTAAGTCAGAAAGAGAAAAACAAATACCGTAAGCTAACACATATATATATGGAATCTAAAAAAAAAAAAAGTGGTTCCGAAGAACCTAGGGGCAGGACAGGAATAGAGATGCAGACATAGAGAATGGACTTGAGGACACAGGGAGGGGGAAGGGTAAGCTGGGACGAAGTGAGAGAGTAGTATGGACATATCGACACTACTAAATGTAAAATAGATAGCTAGTGGGAAGCAGCTGCATAGCACAGGGAGATCAGCTCGGTGCTTTGTGACCACCTAGAGGGGTGGGATAGGGAGGGTGGGAGGGAGACGCAAGAGGGAGGAGATATGGGGATATATGTGTATGTATAGCTGATTCACTTGTTATACAGCAGAAACTAACACATCACTGTAAAGCAATTATACTCCAATAAAGACGTTTTAAAAAAAAGTTTCAACAAAGGAAAAAAAACCCATATTCTCCTCATGAAGAAAAGACCCGATACACCTAAGAAACAGGGGAGCGTTAACTCCTCCACTCCCCACAAAAAATGTTGACAGAAAAACGTCTGGCCAGAGAGGTGAAGCCCAAGAGAGAGTTCAAAGTAGTCAGTTTTTTAAAGGAGGGACGTGAACAACCAAGCCTGCTGAAAAGTCATATAAGGTGAGCACCAAAAAGTGACAAGTGGATGTGAAAAATATCTCCTTGGCGACTCAACCCATTTTAAAGTCACGTCTGAAGCCTGGAGTTAGTTCTGGGCAGGGTTTGGCCCCTGGTCATCTCACTGACTCTGAAGGCATCTGGTATATCCACACCACCAAGCAGCTTTCTCAGGGCCGGGCTGGTGATAGTCTCGTGAGAGGCAGAACGCCACCCAGACACTGTGGACCCAAGCGTGCATGCCTAATGTCCATGGGCTCACTGCTCCGTGCTGATCATCTGTCAGAACTTCCCTCTGGGCATCCTGGCTGAGACCTCACTGCCCTTTCCAGCTGGCTCAGTGAACTGGTCTTTTTTGGCATATCACCGTCCTCCATGCCAATGTGGAGTCTTCCTTACGGCTGTTGTGCTGATAATGATTTTTGTCTGTACATCCCTGTCAGGGAGACAGTTTCCGCGGGACTCTCCTTCACTTGGTAAGGAACTAGAAATGGGGGAAGGTGGACTCTGTGCTGAACTGTAGGAGCAGAATCGACATCACGGAATTGAGTGCAAGTAGCTTACCTGGGAGGTGACCCCAGGAAACATGGAGGCTTAATCCCACTGGGGAACTCTGGAAGCCAGGGCAGATGACGTGATCCAGAGTTATCCCAGTTGGGGGTGAGAGTTAAGGCGTTTCTATATCACCTCCTCTCACTCATTGTTGGAGGGCTGCTGGGTGAATGGAGGTTACTTAACCTCTGGTGTTCCTGCCTACTTCCGGGGCGGGCAACACAGACTCTGGCAGCTTAGGCACAAACAGGCGACGCTGGCAGGTGGAAATCAGGCTTGTGTGCACTTATGGGCTATAGAGGAGGAATGTGGGCGGGGCCCTGACAGCCTCTGTAAGTCTGATGAGCTCTCTTCCAACCCATCTTCATCCATTGTAGTCTCTAGGGAGCCTTGCTTCACTAACTGGGCTGCACTCTGCTTCTGCTTCCTCTTCATCACAGCCATCCAGATTTTGGACCCTCCTTATGTCTCTGGGAACCTCTGAGACCAGCTCCCCCTAACCACCCTGGGCTTCTCTGTGGTCAGCCTACACATGATCCACGTGGGTCTGAACTTTGCTCAGCAGAGTCTGGACACAAGCTCACACATACTGGTAGAGAAGTAAGGCAGGGAGATGAGTCCGTATACTTGGAAGAGGTTGGACTGAGGTGCATAGTTTCCAGTCCCCAGCTCCCACGGGCCTCCTCGGGTGCTGAGCAAGGGGGCCCTTTGGCGGGAGTGTTGCACAAAGATGGCGCCCAAAGTCTTAACTTGAGGCTGTGTTTCCAGTCTCCAGGAAATAAGGAAAACCATACCCCTTTATTTCAGCCTCTGTAGCCTCCAGACAAAAAGGGTTTGTTTTTAATCAATCAATCAGCCAAGTAACAAATGTTCATTAGGCAACCACTGTTTGCCAAGCAAAGTGGCACATGTTGAAGGAAACACAGAGATGCTGGAAGGCGTTCTTGCCTTTGGCAAGTGTACAGTCTAGATGAAGAGACCACATTGATAACATGTGACTCTAAGGTAGTTTGACTTGATTTTTAGAACAAACATGCCAGAATTTTTACACGGCATTCTCCCTCAGATGTTCCTATACTAAAGTGTTATCATTTCCTATCACGTCATGTTGATTATCATCATTACACAGCTTTGCACAGCAACATGTTTGTGGTAAGTACATGGGGCGGCAGAAATGTGAAAATGGCACGATTTTTCTCAGTTGCCACATAACCTGAGGTTATTCTCCTTGATCACCGGACAGTGATGTACCATGTTTAGTAAATATGCACAGGGCTTGGAGAAGCATTTTAGAGAAAACGCTAACAGTGCCGAACTAGCAGCAGGGCATGGAGGCGCATTTGTTTCACCATTACTGGATGCTGTAATTCGAACTTGTATAGAACAAGGGAATTTTTTTTTTTTTTTTGCCGTACGTGGGCCTCTCACTGTCGTGGCCTCTCCCGTTGCGGAGCACAGGCTCCGGACGCGCAGGCTCAGCAGCCATGGCTCACCGGCCCAGGCGCTCCGCGGCATGTGGGATCCTCCCAGACCGGGGCACGAACCCATGTCCCCTGCATCGGCAGGCGGACTCTCAACCACTGCGCCGCCAGGGAAGCCCAGAACAAGGGATTTTTAACTTCAGAAAGCCTAATTTAGGATGATTCTTTCTTTACATGGAGGAGAGCTGGTTTCTGGAGATACAAAGTACTACTGTGAGCCCAGGAACTGGTATGTATTTTAGCCTCACACAGCCCTATAGATCAATTTCGTTTTCCTTCATTTGCCAGATGAGGAAACTGTGGCTCAGAGAGCTGAGATAACTGAGCTCCATCACACCTGGAAGTCAAGGTAGGTGTGAATGCTGGCTCTTGGGACTCCATAGTCAGAATAATATACCTGCTGCCTCAGCCCAGTGAGAAGTCTCTCCCAGCAAGGGCTGCAATTAATAGGAGGCTTGTCTCTTCATTGAGGTATAAAAAGAGACCGTTGCCAAAAGCCCTGCTGGATTTTGTTTCCAGGAAAACCAAGGTGGACGCCTGCCAGGGGCTGCCACAGGTTAGCCGGCGCTGCCGAGACACAGAGGCTCAAGTGACGTTATCTTTGAGAGTAACAATCAAATCTGTGCTCTCAACCTGGGTGCAAAACCCAAATCTAATTCTTGGGGTGAGAGGTACAGAGCAAGGGAGAGGGCAAGAAATGTTCTAATAAAAGAACCGGTGCCGTGTGAATTCCGTTTCTTAGAAAGAATCTTAAGAAGTTCTTTCTTTTGTCTGCATTGTCATCAACTCTCTGCCTGCTGTGCTGGCTTTCTTTCCACTACCCCTTCCCCTCAATGTGCATCGAAACTTCTTTCTCCTCTTTTGTTCAGTTTAGCAGGAAAGATCTTTGGAGCAGAAGGAATGGGCACCTTTAGCAAGCTCAGATATCAAATAATTTTTCACCTCCCTGTAATTGAAATCACAGGATCGGGATTTGCTTCCCTTTGGCCTGCTCTTCTCTTGTTCTCTGGGATCACAGATGGAGTGGGGTGAGGGTGCTATTGACTCCCCACGGCTTGTCATCTGACAGACGGACACACCAGCCAGGAAGGGGTCTGACTCTTAGATGAATTCTTTTATCCTCAAAGGGGCTTCCTGCAAAGGAAACCATTAGTGTTTTGCTATTGGGTTTCTACTCCCCATGGTGTCTAAGAAATCATTCATTTAATTTTGTGACATTTTGAGTGGATTTGGAGAGCTAAGCCCATTTGAAAAGGCCTGTTCCTGTCTAGGAGGACAGAGGAAATGCAAATAAATTCCAAATGGTCAAAGGCCCAGCAGCCTGAGTGTGGGCCGGCCTGCATCTCTCTTCAGCCTGGGTTACATGTCTGAATAGCTGGTGATGCATTACCCAGCCTCTTCCCTGGCCACGGCCAGGAACTGACCCCAGAACATGAGAAAACTGGCCTGAAGTTCAGCAGCAGAGAGCTTAAGAAATCTTACGTCTTAAAGAGAATGACACTGCACGTGTTCCTTCCTAATTCTCGTCTGGTGGATGAAGGTGAGGCTGGGCGTCAAGGTGGAGAGTACGTACTCTGTCCCACGCCGGCCATGTCACCTGGGTAAGGTCACAGTAATGCTTTTAAAAGATGTAGCAGTTACCTACCTGCCCTGTGGGATTGTTCTGAGACCAGAGGTGAGATCGTTTGTGTAAAATATTTAACACAATACCAGTACACAGTAAAATCGCAGTAAATGTCAGGTGTCACTAATACTGTTTTCAGTATTGCTTTTACGTTCATGGTAGTTATCCACGGTGATTTGTCACGTGCCCTGTTGGTTACCAGACCAGCATTGTCCAATCAAAATATAATGCAAACCGCATATGTAACTTTAAGTTCTCTAGTAACCACATTTAAAAAGTAAAAGGAAACGTAAAATTAATTTTAGTGATATGTTTAACCCCCCAATAAAAGACTAGCCTAGTATCATTTCAACATGAAATCAGTATAAAAATTATTGAGATATTTTACATTCTCTTCTCCATCCTAAGTCTTGCATAGATCATCTCAGTTCAGATGAGCCCCATTTCAAGTCCTCAACAGCCAAATAGAGCTAGTGGCTCCTTCCATAGAATGGAGAGGAGGTAGGTTCTGTAGTCTGTAACACAGGGACTATACACTCCTTGACATTTGGGGAAAAAAATATGTAAAACCATTAAAGGCAATTCTTTGGTGATTTCATTTTTTTAGGTCAAGCTTTTGTTTCTTTGAGTCAATGTTGATGATTTGTGTTTTTCTAGATCCTAGTCTATTTATTCCATTGAGGTTTTTAAATTAAGTACTGTTTAACCTACTGTTAACTTTTGATCTAAAAAACACCTCCTATGCTGGTGGTTATAGCCTACATTCCAGTCCTAATTTCATGTAACAGAGATGTTAGTCCTGTTCACCCTCACAAGGTACACAGTTACTGAAGAGAATATACACAAGTCTCTTTTTTGAGAAATCTTAGTGAATTTCCATTTAACACAGACTGGGATGTGTTTAGAGCCAGGAGGTCATGATGGTTAGAGCAGATCTGGAAGCAGAGCTGAAACAGAAGCCACATGACCATGAGCTGAGGGGTCAAGGGAGTCAAGGATGTAGAGATACAGAGTATTCTGAAAAGAGGTCCAAATAAGGGGTGAGGAAGGGGTGGTGACCAAGATTAAGAAATGACCAGCTATGTGGTGGGCAGGCTGACACCCACGCCAGAGCCTGGCTTACCCAAACCTATCCTCTCAGAGAGAAACCTCTCCACCCTGGGCCCAGGAGGTCTCCCCCGATACAAGCTCCCGTGGCAGCCTGTGCTTCTCTTTTATAGTTCTTTTAATGTTTGTCATTATATACCATCTGTCTCGTTCACTAGACCTTAAGCTCCATGAAGTGTGTGGGGGGGTCATGTCTGCCTTGTTTTCCAGTAAGTTTTCTTGCACCTGTCATAGTGGATGACACCTAGTAGGCTCCCAGTCAATATTTCTTAAGTGAAAGAAAATAAAGAATGCACTTCAGCTTTGATTTTGTGTTAGATGGGAGATAATTGTAGGGTGTGAGGAAATTACCATCAGTGATGAAGAGGTTGAAGCTATGAGAGAGTATAATTATAGCGACATCCTTCACACAATGGGATTGAATGGGACTAAGAAGAAATATAAAAGGACAATTATTGAGAAAGAGGAAGAAGGGAGACACCCATCTTTTGAAGAGGATTAAAAGATTGCCATAAGTATTTGTAAGTGAGAAATAGAAATTTGGAGCCACTATCTCTCAATAACTCTGTCTTGATGAAATGGGTTGAAGGGTGTGTGAGGGGATTAGTAGATCAGTTGCTGAAGAGAAAGGGGACGGGAAAAGAAATGCAGACGGACAGGTATATAAGCCAGTGATGGACCTTGGGATTCAGCAGAAGATGGAGAGCATAGATGGGGCTGTTTCCAGCCCCTCAGTAGCCCAGCTGGAGGAGCAGGTGGATTAAGAAAAGCTCCTTGGAAGATTTCAGATGGTTTGGTATATGGTGGAAGACCAGGGGATCAAAGATGTTGAGGATCTGGGGAGAGGATCCAGGGGACTAGCCCTGGGGTGTGGACTGAACAGGTGAGAAATTATGACCAAGAGGCTGTAATTATGGGAAGCATCGAGGAACAGAAGGATGTGGGTCAGAGACATGAAGATTGGAGTTTAAACTTCCACAGGTGGAGTTGTTCCCAGTGATGGCATGGTCCCTGGAGAGAGCAGGGAAGTAGGTGGCTGAAGCCAATAGAAGTGAGGATGGGGTTTTGGATGGCTCTTATCCTGACTATTGATATCCCTGGCGTGCTTTTAGACCATGTGTTAGAGAGGAAGACAGGTTTCACATCTTGAAGACCATGGAATGGGTAGTTGATAAGTAACAGAAGCAAGGAAAGGTGAAGCTAGACGGTCATCTGTGAACCGGATTTTGTCCTTTGTCCCTCTTGCTGTCTGTCAGTTTCCCATCAGTGACTCCCAGACTACAAACCTTGTGTGTAAGGCCTGGGCAGCTTCATGAAAGTCTGCAGTGAAATGGACGCCTATCCTTCAGTTACCTGCTCACAGTTGGGAAGGTAAAAGAAATTTGCCAGCTTAGCAAACTTTCAAACTTACCTAAGGATGATAAAAATCTTAAGGGAAAAACTATTTGGGATGTAGGCCAAAATATCTTCAGATTAATCAGATGTTCACCAGAGGCCTGGACAGCCTGTCAGCCAGTGACTGAGATATATGAAAGATCCCATAGTAAGTTTGGAGCAGAGTTGAGGCCACAGACAGACACAATCTGCTTTCTCTGAAGCATCTGGTTTTTAGGGCTGCAGGCCTGTCTCTCCAGGGAATGTATGATTCTGCTGACTGATGAATACAAGAGAAAGGAGCGATCCACGGAAGCCTGGCACATGGTCTGCCGCTGTAATTACTTGGCAAGTCCGTTATCACTCTGGCCCTAGTTTCTTCATCTGGAAAGTGAAGCTGGTGGTCAAGATGGATGTTTTCAAACAATGTTCCAGTTAGAAAACCTGGGGGATGTCTCAGCACACCTCATGGCTCTTGTCCTCATCTCCTTGGCTTTCAGATTCTTGATCTCATGGTCCCAGCTTTAATACCTGTCTTTGGTGACTTATTTGAACCTCCACTTCGGCTTTTTGGATCTTGTCTCACTACTCAGCTCTTACCTGTACTCATTCTTCCAACGTGAGGATCCCTACCAGCTTCCAGAAATTGAGTCCCTCTTCTTTTTCCAAAGGGACCTTAGGCACCCAATCACCAGAACATCTCTGAGTGTGCAGTGGTACCCACCTTCCACATCCAGTCCTCACCTTCGTGCTAGATGTCTACATCCAGGACCACACGAGGCTACATTCATGTGTTCATGACGGGAGTTGAGTTCAGCATCCTCCTATTCTGCCGTCTTCATCCCACCTCCCCAGATCCATGCTTTTAAAGGACAGCTCCCTCACCTTTGTCAGAACCAGTCATCCTCCCTGTGGGAGACTTTGTGTCTTGTCTTTGATCCTCTCCTTCTCTGTATGACTTTGAAGCATTCACTGTTTACTAGCATCTCTCATTTTGAGGCAAAGAGACAAGATGCAATAGGTTCACAAACTTGCGACTAGAAGATGGATAAGTTCTGGAGATCTGAAGCACAGCATAGTGAATATAGTCAACAGTACTGTATTGCATACTTCAAAGCTGCTAAGAGACTAGATCTTAAATGTTCTCACCACAAAAATGAAATGATACTTATGTGACACCATAGAGGTTTTAACTAATGGTATGGTGATAATCATGTTGCAGTATATAAATGGATCAAATCAAC